TACTAATTACATTCTGTTAAGTAAGGAAAATCAATATCCATAAAATCTACTTTGGAACTTCTTTTTATTGTAATTTTTAATAGAACTTTGATCAGTTAAATATAATATATGTTGTAAGATATAGTATGTAGTTTGGAATGTTGCGTGTAGTTAGTAGCAATAAATTGCGTGTATTTAATAATTTTGCCACCATAATATAGAATAATCAAATGATAAATTAGTTGAATTTGGACATCGCTATTAAAATATATATCTATGATGAACCAATTTTATATGAATGTAATTTACTTATTTATCAAAATTTAATCATAGACTTAAACCTTGGTAAGGAGGCTTTGTACTTAAACTTAACTATACTCCTAGAAATAATATGAAATTAATTAGTTTCCTTAGGAAAAACATTAAAGTGAGAAGAGATCTTATTTTTTATTAAAGAAAAGGAAAATTTTCACCCAACGGTCTACGTTAAAATGCGAAAAATGTTTGACTATACAATGCATGCACAGAAAATGCATATACTCATGATAATTTATGCAAACATAAGCATGTTATTCAGTCATAACGAAATAAAAAGGACGATAGACTTTGTTCCATATAAAAAACATCAACGAAATAATCTTCAGAATGATTTTCTCCAAATAATAAATATTCCCTTGTTGAAGCATATTTCTATAATCTATAATTTATATCTTCTCTTCTAATTATAAAGTTGCCATAATGTTTTTTTTTTTACTGTAACTTTAATAGAAAAAAATATTAGCACAATTAAATTTAAGGAGAATATACTATGGTAATAAATTTTGTAAATACTTATACTACAATCTTAAAATTTATTCAAGTATGCTGTTTAGGTAAAATGATCATATTATTATATTTTAGACTAATTACCACAACGAACTTTAATTATCTGATACGTAGTTGTTATTTGTTGTACAAAAACATACATGTATGATGTAAATAATAAATATTGCTGGACAGACTATAATTGAGAGAAATTTACCTATCGCGTCAAAAAAAGATTGTAATCAACTGTGACAATATTTTGCTTTTTTTTAAACAGTAATAATTAAAGCCACTTTTCAGGGTAATTTTATTTATGTAAACGATTTTTCAAAAAAGAAAAAGGGGATTATTTTTGATCAAAAAAGAAATACTTCACACTTTTTATATTTTTAAATTTTGAATGTGACTACAATCTTTTTTCTTGCGATATTTAATATACTTAACCTTTAATATATTCACTTCGTAGCAAATAACAAGAATAGTAATTATTGATGTTACATATTTATAATAATAATCTAATTCTAAGCATACCCCATGTATATAATGTATTCTGATTTGTAACAACAGATATATTACTAAACAGTAACGAACAACAGTTGTTAACACTTCTGTATTTCCGGGCAATAAATGCAGAAGTGTAACATTACTTAAACGTAATATATTAAAAACAATATATATAGCATAATATACTATGTTACACAAATAACGTTAATGGGATCATTCAAATAGAATCTGAATTAGTCATAATGTAGTCGTGTGCATATAATGGAGATATATTTAAGCTTGTATTTTATATAATAAGGAATTATATATTATGTAGATATTCTTTTACTTTCAAACAAACAATGTCTCGGAGAAATTTAAAGACTTTCTTCATTCATATTTATAAATATAGAAAATTAAAAATAACTCATCTTTTTTAGTTAAACAGATATTGGTGTCGATTCTGGCATGATTCTGGCTGGCAGTCTCTCCTTTTCATTCTGTATAGAGAATGACAAGGATGCACTGTTGTTAAATTTAATTTTATGTGTAGGGAATCATGCTTGTATAGAAACCAATATTATTTATTTAATTATTAAATAAAAACAGAACAATGATGTAAAACAGAAGGTATTTCCTTCAACTTTATATGATTTAGAATTAAAAAAGTAAGCTTTTTAATACTTGAATGTGAAAATCATAAAGATATTATAGTGTATTTATTCATTCATTCATTCGTGATGTAATGGAAAATAGATAATTAAAATTGTAGTTTTTAATATCTCTTTATAGAAAATAATGTACCTATTGATCTTACATGTATGTATAAATATAATAGTGTTCAAATGTAGTTATAGCAACTATTGCTTAATGTGGGCATAGAGCTTTATTAGTTTCTTATCAATTGCATTTAGAAATTTTACTATATGAATAAGAAGCCACAACATTGCGCAGCGTATTCTCAGATTCATTCAATTCGCACAACTGCGTCTGCGACATAAAAAAATATCATATTTTGTGTCACAGCATACCTTAGAATGCTCTAAGTAGCATACAAAACTGTCTTACAACGATAACTAGTAAGGTAGAGTTGCTGATGACTCGGAGAAAAAAAAAATATTCATCCACAGCATCTGAATTGATAGGTACAATAAATAAAATATTGTTTACTTTATAAAAAAAAACGACGGGTTGCACTCCGGGAGTGTAGAAATGAAAACTTGAATATTAACGTTGTGCACTATTGATATTTTGGAATTTTCGATTAGGTCACGTGTCCTGACGCGAGTTTAACATTTTTTACCCATTACAAAAAAGTGTACAACGCCGCTAAAGAAATTTCACTTCAAAAATTTTTGGTGACAATTTTTTAATGAGATAACCAATTGGTGCATGTTCATGACAAATTATTTGTCGTTATCAATTAGCAAAACCAATGTTGTGACTTGGCTCTTAGATTAAAAATTAAAAAAAAAGTAGAATACGTTCATTCATTAGGAACAGACGAATGTAGTGATGTGATCAACAATAAGTGTTTTTATAAAAAAAGGTTTATAAATCATAGTTCATATACCCACAGATATTCAATAATATTATTTTTTTAATATTATATAATATGTGTGTTTTAGATGTACTGATTTGGATGTTTCTCGTTCAGTAGTTAAATGTTATTGTATCTATTGGTGTTGTAAATGTACAACGTGTTTTAGAATAGACCAACAAATGTCGGGAGTGGGTCTGCATCAGCCATTGCAGGTGCACTTGGATATTTGTGCTACAAAAATCTGTTGTTTTATTTCATCAACATACCTACCTACCTATCACTACACTATTATAGCTAGGGTTGTCAACCTTACTCCTTAACCTTATAGTATCCTACAATATTAGGGGTTCAAATACTATATTTCTAAAAAAATACTGATAAATACTAATAGTAGGCGAAACTACTATATTTTACCTTAGGCAGACTTGTGCCAGTAAAACTTTAAAGCTTATCTTATCAATAATAACTTAATTATTAAGGCATATAGCAGCAAAATTTATTCTTTAAAAAATAAAGTTAGTATTTTAACCACTTACTATATTATTTTCTATTTTATGCCATCTACTATATTTTTAAAGATAATAGCTTCGAAAATACTATATTTGATGGAATAAAAAGTTGGTAAAAGCTGGACAGTCGCCGCAGTTGGATACTTGCCCCGGTTTCGAGTACACTAGTACAAAATCTAGTAACCCAAAGGCATTAAGCCACTTAAGATCCATTTTCATCTTGCCGTTCCTCTCTAAATATATTTTAGGGATGTTGTTTTTGCCATCTGCAGTCGCTGCATCCGTTAGAATCCACCAATCCACATTGGGCTCGCGTGGTAGGTCATGGTCCAATCCATAGGGGAGGCCTATGCCCCAGCAGTGGAGATAATAATAGGCTGATGATGATAATCTTTTCCAAAGGCTTTAATGTCATGTACATTGTAGAATTATGGACGAAATTGACTTATGAAACGCTACGCCACACGACGCGACGCCACGATAGGCGTTTTGAGTCAAATAAAATTTTCTATGATCAGAATCACATTAGGAACATCCGACGCGACGCGATGCGCACACACACACTGATCATAGAATATGAGCGTGGCGTGGCGTCGGGTGGCGTGGCGTCAGGTGGCGTGGCGTCGGGTGGCGTGGCGTCGGGTGGCGTCGCGTTTGATAAGTCTATTTCGGCAATAAGGTTCACGCGTTTTTTCCGTGTGAACAAATAACTTACGCAGCAAAATCTTGACTAACATAGAAATTATCATTTATTGCCCGTGGCCCTACTGCTAGTTCCGTGGGACTTGTTAATAAGGTCCGATTATTTCATATTATTTAAAAATGTAATGCGTCATGCTAAAGGTGAACGAAAAAAATGGCGGCGAAGCAATAAAAGTTTCACTTTAAAAATATAATAAATTTAAAAATAGTAATACTGAGACCCCCTTTGGTCTCTGTACCTGGCTCGTGGTAATTTCTACTAGTTTTGCTAGAACTAGTTTGAAGTTTGAACTTTGACAGGGAACTCTTCGTTTGCGAGAGAGAGAGACTGGTACGTACTTGGCCAGTTTGTTTACACCCATGTGTGGATTGGACAAGGGCGGATCCAGCTTTGGCGCCAGGGGGGTGTCATATAGTCGGGGGTCATGACCCCCATGACCCCCCCCCCCCCTGGATCCGCCCTTGATATTGGATGTTGTGTTGAAAATAAGGCGTTGAGCAGACGACGGGGCGGGGCGGGCATTTTGTCCGCGAAGCAATAAAGACCGCGTCTGCCCGTCGATGTCTGCGGCTGCCCGCGCCGCGTACACAAAGCACACGACGGGCAGAGGCGGTCAGTTCAGAACGTTCGTTCTAGTGAATAATCCATCACTAATAAGCGCATGGCGCGGACAGAGCTGACCGCCCCGCGCCGCCGTCTGCGTTACTGCATATAAACTGGTTTGTATGATCCACGACGGGCAGCCGCGGACATGCCGCGCCGCCAGTGCCCGCCGGGCACCTGCGGCGCGGTCTTTTTGCCCTCTGTGTGCGTTTGAAGTATAGGATTCACTTTGTGCTATTATTCGCGGCGAAATTGACCGGCCCGCCCCGCCCCGTCGTCTGCAAAGTGCCTAAAACGCACTACAAAACTCATTTTTATGAACCTTTACTTGAAGTCTATTGCATTATGATTACGTTGCCGAAGAAACGTCAATGAATGTCAGCCAAAAAGGAACAGGAACATGTTATAAATTAGATCAGTAAAAACACAATAACATAGTTTAAGCATATTTATCTTCTAAATTTATGAGTGGAGTAGTTCTGGGAATGTGATGAAAGGTTTAAGTGAAGATGCACCCGTGCAGAGCGAGCTGTAGAATGCACCAGCCGCGTGATTCGTATGGCGGACAAGGCTGTACATTTTAATACAGGCTATGTGAGTATCGTGAACTTTCAACATATCGTACGACAACCACTGCTGAGCATAGGCCGCCCCGGAACCAGAAAAAACTACGATAAAATAATCAGCTAGACCCCATTAAACAAAAAAAAAGATAATTTTATAAGTTGATCCACCCGGGGATCGAACCCGGTACCCTGCGAGTTTGTGGGGCTGATTGATTACAAAAACACTGCCTTGCTTTAGCGATAGATATAAAATAATCAAAAAAAATATGATAAAGCTCAACATCCGTATAATACGTACACGTATACAAAACACCACGGTTGATGCCTTTTCTCAAGCTCTGTACCCTCCCAAACGTCCCTTGACACTTGACAGTCATAAAAGTTTTTCCAGTCTAACGTCCGTGGACACTTGGAGTGTCCCCTTTTGGGCGGTCCTGTTTTTTGCTCATTAGCATGCTTTAAAAAGCATCCTTATCGCTGCTTGTGGTCACTTTAGTGTAGGCAAAATATAAAGAAAGCGTTCTTAATAAAAATGCAGTGCTCTCTGAACTTTAGATTTTTTACATCAGTTTGAAGTACGCGCACCGCGAAAAATGGTGACGACGTGAATGTTTCAATAGAAATGACGCCCAATTTTTCAGAAAACACTCTTTTTTCATTATTTAATCTTAAAGTATGGTATATCCACATGTTCCTCAAGATTTACCCGTGTCACTGATGTGAAAATATCATAGTTTTATTTGCGTTACAATTAGAAACCTACAAAAATGTGAACACGTTAAAGTTTTATTTATTACCAGCTATTTATATACCTACCTATATATATTTTTTGTTATGTTTTTCTTATCTTAGGTTTTATTCGTAATATATATTTATAAAAAATACTGTAAAAAATCGGTCCAGGCGTTTGGTCTCTAGTGTGCCACAAAGGAACAAACATACATAATATATAGACTGTTAAACACTATACCCTGTCTGTAAAAAGATTGCATACATTTTAATGGATTTTGTTGATAAAAACAAAGCCTGAATTAATTAACAACTTAGGCACCTACCAAACATTTAATACTTAACTATTCAGGTATTGTAAAACACTGGGCATATTGTGCCACCAACGTCTTATTAGTAAGCGATATCCACTATTTCTTCAGTGTTTGGAACAGTGGAGGACAGGTAACCATCTTTTAGAAGGCAGTCTTGATTGTAGCACCCGTCCACCGAAATCTACGCGTTTAATATGTATTTCTATATAAATACACTTATATATGTATGTATCAGTATATGTATTCTATCCCATAGCATAAGCCGACAGTGCTTACTTTAGGGCTAGGCTAATTGGTGTGAGTGTTCAAAATATTTATTATTATTATTTAAGAAACTGCAGCCATATAATACTATTCTATTGAGCTGTTTCCTTAGTCCTAGTAATGTTTGCGAAGCTTCACGGGGTAGAGGATGGGGTAAGTATAAAATATACCCAAAAGATATACTTATATGGCAGGCTTTTATAGGTTTTAATGGCTGCTTACTTTCCATCAGTTTGCAGCCCTTTTACGTGAAAATAAATTTCCGTATAGCATTACAACCGTTGCCATTCCGATAAAAAAAATATTGACGGAATTGACGACCTCCGTGGCCGAGTGGTTTGTACGCCGGGTTCATGGTATCACCGACTCGAGAGGTCCTGGGTTCAAATCCCGGTGGGGGCAGATGGTTGTGTGATGAATACGAGCATTTGTACTCCAGTCATGGATTTTTAATGTTTTTTCTATATAAATATACTTATATATGTACAGTATATGTATTCTGTCCGTTACCCTTGTATCCCATAACACAAGCCTTATAGTGCTAACTTTGGGGCTAGGCTAATTGGAGTGAATGTTGGAAATATTTATTTGAAAAAAATACTTATTTATTTAATTAAATTTCAGACAGCTAGGTTCTACTCGTTTGTTAACCTAAGTTTTGGAATCATTTTGAAGCCTTATTAAAACTGGTGTGTATGTCTATGATTGTGGAGGAATGTATCAAGTAGGTACATCTGCCAATACTCTCTAATAGCTCATATTACAGAAAGTGTTTTCTTTCGCCATAATTAGGAACTTTTTGAATAGGCTCCAGAAACAACTTGTTATTTAATCGTTATGGTATACCGTAAGAAACTATTGCAAATTATTTATTCTATGGCTTTTAGTTGGTCATGGCTTGTCACTAAAACCTATTAGTTGTCTTTAGTATCAAAATGTATTAACAAAACCTGCTGTTTCCTTTATCAAATTTTTGATCTTTGCACTATAAGAACGAACAGTAATTTAGTATCAAATATGCTCCGACGTAATGCCATTCTCCTTTCAGAACTTGTATGACATCGAGACGATAGCGAAATGGTTGAGTTGCAACGGCGAGGCGTGGGGCATGGGACCCACGGTGGTGTTCGCGAGTGCAGCCGCCTTGTTCCTCTACAACGAACTCGAAGCCACTGTGTTCGTGCCCGGGGACCAGCTTCATGTCTCTGTGTTAGAGAAGACGCTCATTGTAAGCACCAAATAGATAAAAGCCAGTAGGACAGCTCCCACGTCCCAATATTGATTTCGGCAGCTGGTGTCTCGCGCGTTGCGTATATATTCTGCTTAGAACTGTTTATGAGCCCTTTTACAAAATTGCGCCGCTGCCGTACTGATCGGCGCGTAGGTAGATTTGCACTAGTATATATTGCATTTTACGGGTGATGTTTTGAGTCTTATAAAATAATTATTAAGAAACTAATTATAAAAATATATACAAATTTCAGTAGTCCAATGATGGTAGATTAGTTTTATAAAGTTTTTGATAGGAATTCTATTTAATTCAATATCAAAATACGAGGTAAACCTGCATTGGTTTTTGGGAAAACTCACGGAAGTTAGATGTTTTTTTTTGATAATTAATGAGATGGAAAATCAAAATTCTAATACATTATATTACAACAAAAACATATTTCTGATGTCGTAGTAATTAATTTTATCTAATTTATTGAATATTATTTAGAGATACAGGCGTTTGAAGTTGTACATATTATCGTTTTTTCCCTAAACTAGCTGCGCTTGAACGATCAGTACAAAAAAAGGAAAATAGTATTTGTAAATATTCTACATTAACTTTCAATAGGAAGAATAAATCTACTCTTTAGTTCTATTGGAAATAGTCAAAAAAAATCTAAGAGGGTAAACGAGGCGCTCAAGAATTACGAATTTTTGCAAAAAAAATTAAAAGGCTCTTAAGAATGCCTGTAAACGTCACGTCAATGTGTGAATGACTGAAATGACGCTTTGTTCTGATCAGACTCTCTGCTTCGTCGCGGCAATCTATATATATAAAACTCGAAGGTGACTGACTGACATAGTGATCTATCAACGCACAGCCCAAACCTATCCTGCATGCCAAATTTCAGCCCGATACGTCCAGGGATCGGGCTGAAATTTGGCATACAGGTAGATGTTATGACATAGGCATCCGCTAAGAAAGGATTTTGATCAATTCTACCCCCAAGGGGATAAAATAGGGAATGAAAGTTTGTATGAAACTTTGTCAATTTTAAACCGATCGGGCTAAGACTTTGCATGCAGGTATAAGAAGAATCATAAACGAATGTCATGTGAAAGCATGAGAACAAAAACTGTAGTCTACAATTCAGCTCTACACCGAAGCGAAGCGAGGGCAGGCCGCTAGTTACGAATATAATACTAGTAATGAAGTGGGATTCCAGCAATTGCTGAGGAGCTCGATGACGCAGGCGGTTAGCGCGTTCGGCTTGCGAGGAAGTCAGCAACTTTCATAATGGATGGATAATTGGATGGATGACCAAAAATTATTATCTCAAACTCCTCCGTGCTTCTCAAGGCACGTTAAGCCGTTGGTCCCGGCTGCATCTGTAGTCGTTAGTAACCGCATTGGGCCTGCGTGGTGGGTCGTGGCCCAATCTCTATATTCCATCCATAGGGAAGGCCTGCGCCCCAGCAGTGGAGTCATTAATAGGCTGATGATGATGATGATGAGTTACTAAAAAGGTAATGCATGAACAAAAAGCTTATTAGAAATTTCGGGACGTTCAGAATGAATAGGTAGGTCTTTATAATTTTTATTATTTTAAAGCATGTAACTGCTTGATGTTTAAATCTTAAGAAAATATAACTAGAAAAAATTCCACGCGGACTAGGCAGTAGACGGGACTCGAACCCGCACCCTTCGCAATCTGGGCGAATGCACTGACCAATTATGCTACCGCGGCCCTCACATACCGCATCGAAATTCCTCTAGCCATTCTTAAGGTGCAAGGCAGCACCATCTCTTCGCATTGTAAGTAACCCACAATGTCAAATGAATACTTTTACAAGTATTAAACATTTGAAAGAAGAAATAGTAATTATAGTTAAAAAAATATTATTTTAAAGCATGTAACTGCTTGATGTTTAAATCTTAAGAAAATATAACTAGAAAACATTCCACGCGGACCAGGCAGCAGACGGGACACGAACCCGCACCCTTCGCAATCCGGGCGAATGTACTACCAATTATGCTACCGCGGCCCTCACTCAGGTAGGTCTTATTGCATTAAAAACGGTTTGATCTAAATAAATGATTAATACTTTTTTCGCAGTCAACAATGGTGCTCGGAATGCTCGCTCTGATGGTCCACCTTTGGGTTTGCTCGATGCGGTTCTTCCAATATTATTTGGATACGTTGATTAAAGACGTAAGTATATTCCCTCTTACTACAAAACCTTTTGGTATACAATTCATTTATTCAATAATTAATAATGTTTTGTCATACATTTTATAATTTTCCAGGGGAAATATTTAAATGTACCACAGAAAATAATAAATTATCACCTGAAAAAATCTATTGGTAACCATAAATGTTAGGTAAGGTTACCAATTGTATTTTATTTTTGGATCAATTACTATTTTTTATGATCGTTCAAATATATGCCATTTACTACTACATGCCCCCCGCGAGTCGTCTACGTGGTTTGACTGATTTCCCATGCAAACTTACAACCCTCCTGTACACTCCCTGTCTATCAGAAACTTACAGTGGCCACTATTCCCATGCGAATAATAAATTTGGTGACTCATTTCTTTGTCGCACTATAGTCCAAGATTTTTAGATGTCCGCTCTGCATAAAATCCTTCTACGTTATTTTTCGATTGGATTATGTCGGAGGGTGCCCCCCAAGTATAAAACCGATCTTTTTTGTAGAGAACAAAATTTCCCATCTTTTTTATACCAAACTTTTCCCCCTATTGTTGATATTTTCCGATATATTGAAGTAAAAAAAACATTTTTTTTGTTTTTGTAAAGTAACTCAATAATTTTTGGAGATACGAAAAAAATGTTTGAATTAAAGTTGGATGCAATTAACATAGACTTGGAAGAAGAAAATTCGCAAACCTTCCAAAATCGCCCTTCCGGTTGTAAACAGCGAAAAATTTTATAAATCTAACATCGACGAATAAAATTTATCAAATACAATTTATTAAATTAATATTCTGCGATCCTGATTTGTAAACAGCGACTTATATCGCGCAAATGATAATGAATTTGGATACATGAATAAATTTTCATTCCTTTTTCCAATAATTCGTTAAAATATTTTTATTGTGCAAAATTTCCTTTTTAATCTTTCATTTCCCTCCTTTTCGCGATAAATAAAATCGTTACCGTCTTCATGATAAAATTTTTCGATTATACTTTTTTGTTTGCATGCCAGAGTAACGTATTACCGCTCATCGCTGATTTTCGATTCCAGGTGACAATTTTTATTCAGCTGGAACTCAGCAACTAATCATTTTACAAGAAAAAGTTTTATACAAAATTTGTAGAAAATTTCATGCTCTCCAACTTTAATTCAACCATTTTTTTCGTAACTCTGAAAATTATTGAGATACTTTACAAAAACAAAAAAAAATGGTTTTTTTACTTCAATATATCGGAAAATATCAACAATAGGGGGAAAAGTTTGGTATAAAAAAGATGGAAAATTTTGTTCTCTACAAAAAAGATCTCTTCGGTTTTTAACGTAAAACTTACCGTTTCCGAGATATATGCAAAAAAACGATTTCCAAGATGGCGGCTAACGCTCGCGGTTTCGGGCGACAGAAACTCGGTTTTATACTTAGGGGGCACCCTCTGATATAATCCAATCAAAAAATCACGTAGAAGGATTTTATGCAGAGCGGACCGATTTTTGGTGCTAAAATTCCTGGACTACTATCCGCAAATGGAAAGCTTTGCCAGATCACGTGTTCCATTCCCTATAATCCGAGATCCTTTAAAAGAGGCTTGAAGAAGCAATTATGCAGGCCGGCAAGGTGAAGGTGGATGGTGTGGCAGGCAGAACTGCTGTCTCCACTCCGCCGTCGCCGTCACTTAACGTCTATTATTATTTATAACCTCAAAAAATTTAATAACTAATACAATACAATTTTTACCACATTTATATTCTATTTATAATTATACAAAACATTATATTTACAATTTTACCACTTATACAGATGACATCTTATTTGCATTCATTTACATATCAAGCTATACTAATATTTATATACTGTTCTACCCAAAACCCCCTTGTCATAAATAATTTTACTTGTCATTATAATAATTATTTTCAAATATTTCAATATGCATCTTGTTAAATTTCGATGTAGTCAATAGCGTCGAAATTTAATAAAAGTAGTATCGTTTGCTTTTATTTTCAAAAAAAAAAAACGTCAGATGAAGTGGAGTCTATCGGACCTATTTATAAAAAAAACCCTTAAAGGATGATTTCTGGGCTATTGCGTACACATCTAATTTGAATAAAGAAATGTTTGACTTTGACCATGAAATGACGTTTCAGAGTCCAAACATGCTGCTAGAGATGACAACGGCTGGCCTGCTGGGCGCGGAGGTGATGCCGCTCAGCACCCTGACCCGGTTCCTCCGCCAGCAGCAGCCTCAGATCCACATCACTATCTGCTGGTTCCTGTCTCTCTGCTATGCGGACTACGTGCGCAAACACTACTGCCAGCGGTTCAACATGCCCTACTTGGAACAGTGGTTGGTACTGGACTCGATGGGTTGGTTATTCTCATGTTTTCATTTTATTTTTGTGTTTACCAACTACCAAGTTCTTGCTTCGGAAGGCACGGGCACCAACGGGTCCCGGCTGCATCTGCAGTCACTAGTATGGCCCAATGTATGGTCAATAGTATGGTCATGGCCCAATCTCCCTATTCCATCCATAGGGAAGGCCTCTGCCTCAGTAGTGGAGACATTAATAGGCTAAATACTAATGATGATGAACTATCAAGTTATGGAGTGAATAAGAGATATAGGAGATCATTATGTAAAGATATGTAAAAAAATATAAGTTGGGATCAACGATATTAATACCCAAGATTTATTTATACACTAGATATAACAACAAGAACAAATTCCTGACCGAAACCTGTCCAAAAGGTACATGGACGATCCACGGAGCTCCGTAAGATGTTCTCGTTGTCAAAAACAATATAAAGCATTATTTAAACATTGAAACTCACCTTTAATGCTTATTGTATAAGGTCTTAATTAAAACGCATGCGTCAAACAATTGAATCAGTCATTTGAAAAACCTCTTAAGTCACACAATTAGAGTTTTTCAGGAATTAATAAACTGGTTCATACTCAAACAATCGAGTTTAATAGATTTTGTTACGCTTAATTTAGTATTTACGAGTAAGTAGTAAAAAAATAAAATGTACAAGAACTTTTACTGTTCATAAATAATAATGAAAAAATCATGAAAATCTGTTCTTGACTTATGTTGTTTTTGCAAGAAATAGGTGACTATTGTGTTTTTAGCAAGAAATAGATTTAGTGGTATATGTATATAATAATAATTGTATATAAATATGTATATAAGAAAAACGCGACTTAACAGTTTTTTGAAATGACCGATTCAATTATAAAAGTTCGAATTGCAAGCTCGTAAAATTTTACGACTTATTGCTATATGCGGATGAATATAGACCTTATTTCTTTGACTCAACGCACAACTGTGACCGCGCGTGACTGTGAACCAAAAAGTGTTTGAGTGGAGTTCAAGCACTTCTTGATTGGGACACATTTTGAGCGCACGTTGGTGGGGATGGAAAAGACAACTATTTAAGTATTAAGTAATTATAAGTGCGAAGGGAGCTGTGTGAGTTCGAAACCTTGTGTTAAGGTTAGGGAAACTACTAGTTCTTTTATTGGGATAAAATTGGTGGGATCACGAAGTGTCATTGTTTACTCGTGTTATGGTGCAATTCACACTGTATGCCGGCCGTTTAGTTTTAGTTCTGTCGTCACCGGCGCGCGCACCTACATCACCCAAACAATTCGTTTACTGTGCCACGACTTGCGCTAACTTCACAGCTGCCATTTTAGAATCGCACTATACCAACTACTGGTTGTCGCAGGCAATCCGAGCTGCACGCGCGGGCCGCTCGCGGGGTACACCAGACCATGGAGAAGGTGAACAGCTTCGTCGGCTGCGTCCATCGACGGCTGCGTGGATACGGGCCGCCCGGTCATCGGACAACTGACACACACACGTAAACACGCTTACTACTCGTAAGACACCAAACACCAGACCATATAGAAGGTGAACAGCTTCGTCGGCTGCGTCCATCGACGGCTGCGTGGATACGAGCCGCCCGGTCATCGGACAACTGACACACACACGTAAACACGCTAACTACTCGTAAGACACCAAACACCAGACCATGGAGAAGGTGAACAGCTTCGTCGGCTGCGTCCATCGACGGCTGCGTGGATACGGGCCGCCCGGTCATCGGACAACTGACACACACACGTAAACACGCTAACTACTCGTAAGACACCAAACACCAGACCATATAGAAGGTGAACAGCTTCGTCGGCTGCGTCCATCGACGGCTGCGTGGATACGGGCCGCCCGGTCATCGGACAACTGACACACACACGTAAACACGCTTACTACTCGTAAGACACCAAACACCAGACCATATAGAAGGTAAACAGGTTTGTCGGCTGCGTCGTGCGAACTTTTTGAGTGAAAAAAGCGGGATTCTTTCGTCAAAAGCGGGCCATAGTAAAAAAAACGTATTTAATCAAAAGTGTACATGAATATTTATCTTTTTATTTGAGTTCAAATTACGTTTACGTGACAATAGATAGGTACCTAGTAAAAATATCTACAGAAAATATATTTAAATAAAAATATGATATTTTAAATCAGATTTACCCTTGCATTAAATAAGTGAGTCTTTGTTTGAGAGTTCTTTATTACGCGCCGGGCGGGGGGCCAGTCCACACTTGTCTGTGCCACCCGCCCGCCCTTCCTCAGTACGCTGCACGCACGGTCGAGTTATTCCCGAAAAGCGGGATTGAGCCTGTCCCGCGCGGGAGATTTAATTTTGAATTAAAAAAAAAATGGTTGCCTGTAAAGTCGGTTTTACGGGCGAAGATTTTACGTGACAACGTCTTTTTCTCGGTAAAATATTTATTGATATGAATATAATTAAATTGCACAATAGGAACAAGGAATTGAATGAAAATAAGAATTGCACAAATTTTAACTATAGAAATATATTTTGTTTACTAAAACATTGTACATGTAAACTTAAACTTAACACGAGAGACTCATCGTAACGTTACCGAGCGTTACACTTTTTCATAAGTGACTCCCAGCCGCAACCTAATTTAAGACGTTGTCACGTCAAAAACGGGACGTCCCGCCAAAATCGGTACGTCTGGCAACGCTGCAACTGACACACACGTAAACACACTCGCTACTCGGAAGATGCCAAACACCAGGCACATGGAGAAGGTAATATAGGGTACATGTCGCCAAGACCCATTGCCTTAGGAACAGTATGAAAGCGGTCGCATTGCGATGCGACAGACACCACACAAACTTGCTTTTCTACGCACACCCATTTTAAGTATTAACCGTATAAACAATTGATGGAAAAGCGGCTGCCATAATCTATACTTCGACGCTTGTGATACCAGACTGATACCTGCCCTGAACCATTCTTCACCTCGTAGAGTCCAGGAACTTTTCATTCCTCTTATTTATAGACCGTTTATAAAATCAATAACCACAACATTTTGCATAATTATCAAAAGATTCAAATAGGGGTGATGACGGGGTACAGTAAACGAAATTCTATTTAGTCCGTCAGTTAGATGATCAAAAAATAATGGACATGTATTTTTTCTTTGGGCAATCAACCAAAAAATGACAAAGTTATAGCGCGTCAAAGTTTGGGAGTAGGGGCTCGTGACGTCACTTTTGAGTGAAAATTGTACTTGTAAAACGTGACATCATGCGAATTTTCAAATCAATATATCTCTGCAATGTTTATATTATGTGAAAAAAGAAAAAATACGTGTCCAATACTTTTTGATAATCTACCTGATAAACGAAGAAAAAAAATTAAGTCATCATCCCTATTGTAACATGATAGTTGCTTTAGGCAATAATGTTGGTAACTAGAGTGATAGCGCGGTACCGAAGCGCCCGTCGTCGGTGGCGGTCAGCGGGGCCGCCAGTGTGCTCGGACAGCTCAGCGACCGTGACGTCGGCGGCAGCAGCGGCTACAGCGGCAGCGGCAGCGCGACGCCAGCCAAAGAGCTGTGCGTGCGACTCGTCAGTCAGTCGAGCGAAACAACTGTTGATGCAATTGAGAAACTCCGAGCCCTTATCACAGTAAGACTTCACTTAATACCTATACGAGAAGGTTGGAAACAACACGCGTTATCGTGGGTGCTTTCATTGTGCGGCTCTGAAATGCCTACCGTCTATTTTTTTTTGAAGTTATACTTCTTTAGCCGCGTTATGAAAAAATGATGAGAGTGAAATTTTAAGATGCGCGCGCAACACTGTAACAGAAAATTAACATGAAGTCGGCCGCTAAACCGCACATTACTCGTAAGTCTCGAAAAAAAGCTTCCAACAAAATAGTAATAGTATCTCTTAGTCGCACATGTTGGGACGCTCGTCGCCTCTGATCACTGTTTTCATATTTATAATATTTATCCACATGTTTCTAGTTTCTATATTCTTAACACGTGTTATAATGTTATACAAATGCGAAATTTATATGTGCTAATAAATTTTATTCAGTAGTGATTTAAATTGAATATTTTGATTATTTATTAAATTTTTCAAATTAAAACTGAACGTTATTGACTGCGTTGACTATTCTTTTCCAATCCTTTTATTATCTTATTGTAATTAATTATCTGCATGCAATTAAAAACTATTTTTTAATAATTCCAAAAAGAAGTATAACTTCTCACGCGCGTACTTAAGTACACGCACCCATATTTTTATTTTTTTTCATTTAGGAACATAGAACAGTTATACACTAAATGTTACATACAATTATAATGTAGATATTAATTAGGTAAGTGTACAACCCACACCAATGTCCACAAATTAATGATGGAAGGAGAAGTTTATTATCTTCTCACTACGGAATAATAAACTAAAAAACCGCGATGAACCGGTACAGATAAAAGTATGATACCAAATTCCATCAACCCGTTCTATTTGATAATGTTTCTACTACCATTTTTTTAAACTTTAATTTTGAGAACCCAAATATGTCTAATTCTGCAAAGTTTGTACTATTAGTGCTCTTATATTATTTTTAATCTCTCTTTGATAAGAACTTCATAGAGCTTAAGTTGTCATTCTATTATATTTGTTTCTTAGGTTTTCACGCACATCACTCATTAAATAAAACTAGTTTTTACGGGTTAATGCACGAAACTTTATTTATTTATTGACGTTTCGTAGCCTTTACAGGCTACGTCGTCAGAATTAAACTTTTATTTAATTTGTCGAGCTACCTTCGGAAGACTTTTATTGAGCGTTCGGTTATTTCATTGTTCGATTTTTAAAGATTTATTGTCTATGTATGAATTTATTATTTAATTTACTTAATAAAGTATTTTATTTAAAATTCTTTTTTGTAATTTTGAGTTTATTTGACCCTAACTACCCTAAACTATTGTCATTCTATTTTCACGCTGGCCAAGGTGAGCCTTAGCAATTCTGGGCTACAAACGCTAGGCTACACACAGAAAACTCCTCCAAACAATGCAAAACCACCCCTTGACACACTGAAGGTTAAATAGGCTCGGCCTAAAGTTAACAAAATATTTAAGTATACCCAGTTCTCGTCTCATTCTTCTGTGGACATTTTCGGCACGCATGGTAGAGGTATTATTGAGGTTTGGTCATGATTATAACACAAGCATAAGTTGTTTTACCTGGCATAACTATTCAATCGTATACGAGCAACAAGCAACTTTTATAATAGCTGGTCATCGGATGGATGACCAAAAAGTTGTTATGACGAGCTCCTCCATACTTCAGAAGGCATGTCAAAGGACTTAGCAGACATATCAACCCGGAAAAGAAACGTCACCGTATCAACTCAAGCCGTTCAGTGTTCTTTGTATAAAACTTCCTATTGCAACGCATACTAATCGGAGCCGTAACGTAATCGCCTCGCTTCGGCACGAGCTTTTCCGAAGTGTGGCGATAACGTTTCGATACGGTGACGATCTGTTTCTCTACGACCATATGTCATTGGTCCCGGCTGCAACTACATTCTTTAGCACCCACCAATCCGCACTGGACACGTGTGGTAGGCATGGCCCAATCTCCCTATCCCATCCTCGGGGAAGGCCTGTGCCTCAGCAGTGGGTACAGTTATAGACTGATAACGTTGAAATATTTAAAAGTACAGCATCTCGCACGTCACAAACAATAGGGTATTCAGTCGGCAAAAAAAAAAAATTTTTTATTTGCGTTTCGAAAACTCCATTTTTTCTCTATAAACTGGTAAGATAATTGTATTTTAATTCGAAATAGTTTTTGAATTATAGCAACACATGTCGTCAATTTCTAGGCAAATTTTATGATTGTGAGTATTCTAAACAGTATTAAGTTAATACCCTATTGGCCGTTCGGATTAATACAAGTTTGAAGTTTTATTTAAAATAATACCCTCTGGCCTGTTCGATTTTATTTAATATGTTATTTTCAGCGAAATTATTTTAAAATGATACTAGTTTTTTTAACATGAGCCATTTAAACTGCTTATAGGGTATTCTCTTTACCCAGTCACATAAAAGTACTATAATATTGATACACTAAGTAAACTTACTCAACACAAAGAAGCATAATGTACGTTTAAATCAAGGTACCATTTTAAACATTTGAATAAGTAGTTCCGCTTCTATGATTTTTTAAAATTTCAAAACACTGTTGTTGAAATATTTGTTTTGTTTGTGACGTGCGATCTATCTCACGCACACCGGACTCTCCTAATATCCTATACTCTTCCAGGCAACAAGATGTACGTGTAGCGGTTCACAGGACTCCTGCGTCGCTGGTGCTGTCTGCAGAGATGCCCAGGAGGCAGCGCAGCCTCGATGACTTCCCCTGGCGCAAGATGGCCGAACTGCATTTCGATTGACTTTTAAGCTGTATCATGAAATTATTTAATGAAAATTATATATCTGGTTGCGAGTTTTATTTAAAACGACTTGTGTGGTGTATATTGTTTGAAGAAATATAGCGACTTCTCCAATAAATAACTAAATGTATTTTCTCAAGTTCCGTTACATTATATTTGAATATATTAAAGAGTATATATATGTCTAATATTGAAGAGTCTGAAGTTGAATGACTCCCTGGCCAAGAAGTGCGCCGCTATTCGTCCGTCGGCTTATATATTGATATACACCGCCACCTCGTCCCTTCCAGTGATAGCTGCTCCCAATGGTGAAAGATTGTTGCAAAAATGACGTGCGCATCTGGTTTGCGCGTCGCCACGTCCGGCCGCTAGATGGAGCCACTTATGAACAGGTGTTTTTTTTAAAATAAATACGAACAACTGCATATCCTCGGAATACTACTCTCCTACTATATGGCCACAGACTACTTAGATACTATATGGCTACGTCTCCAAAATAACGTTATTCAGTTGATCGCTCTATTTTCTCATGGTCCCTCATTTTCGCAGCAAACTCTTTATGAGATTTTTTTTATTATTGTGACCAGAGAACTAGCATTTTTGTTTTCGACGGAGACACAAATACATTCGCCCGCTGCCACAGGCTCCCTAAATTATACTGCCTACGTGCTTGAAGAGTTCTTCAAAGCGAAAGCCGGTGTATGCCTATATGTTTAGGCTTGGTCCCTCCTTTTCCATGTTGGGGGCTTTATGTGGAATCCGGTCCTTTGGCTAGTCTACATATGCCTCTACAGATCCTATACCGGTGACAATAAAGCAACTCGCCTTTTCGAACGTCTAAGTCGGGTAACAGATGACGCGCAGGGGCAATTTACAAATTTAATGCAGAATGAGTGTTTTTCGGAGATTTTAGGCTCACCACGGAGGCCTGTTTGTGTTGGGTTACGTTAGGTTAGGTCTGCTACTGTTGGTGCAGGTCATTACGGGGCATGGCTGTTTTGGAGGATACCTGCACCGCATCGCAAAAAGGGAAGCAACCCCTAGATGCCATGAGTGTGGCGCTGCCGAGGACTCGGCGCAACACACGTTAGAAGTTTGTGCAGCATGGGGTCGGCAACGTCACACCCTGAAAGCTGTTGTTGCACGGTCTCAGCTGATATGAGTAGGGATGCCCAAGGAGTCCATGGGCGTAAAGCCGGGCCCGCCGAGACGGTGTGGTTGCTTCCCAATAAGGATCCCACATCGTCATATCCAGCGGTAACGGCACACCCCAGGTTTTAGTGGGTAGGCCAGTATGGAGAGTCCCACATAACCCTTTTGCCCACCCAGTAACAGGGTATGCGCAAAGCATTTCCTTGGGTAAAAAAAAAGGGTGTGCTTCTGTGATCGGCGCACAAACTATATATTGTACTCTAGCAAGAGTGCTAAAGCATGATCAGCGTTTGGCACTTTGTTTTACGTATTTGACGTTTGTAACAAACACCAAGCGTGGAGGCACCATAACAAGTCAAGATGAAATAAAATGTCAATTGCATGTCAGCATGTTGGCGTAGTAGAAGTAAACAATGCAGTCGTTACATTTTTCACTCAAAAACCTTTTCATAAATAATTCGTAACGGCACGTGTAAATAAAAATAATTTAAAATAACAGCCAGATGTTGAAATTTGTTATTTTAAAATTTTGTGAAAGGAAATTGTGATGTGGCATGACTTATGCACTTTCATACGCACTGAAGGTTATAAGGTAGTCTTTCATAATTTTACGCCTACAAGTTATATATATTTGGTTCGTAATTGCCACTTCCTTCTTACTTTTCGTGATTCTCACCAGTTGTACATGTAAACAAAGCCTTGGTTCATCCCAAGGCGCGTGCTCAATAACATGAACTGTGGGATCATAGACTTACCAGTTCCACGTACCTTTGGTAGGAGCTCCATATCACTGTACACGTCCAGTCTGCAATAGTAAAAGTCAAGCAACTCCCGGTTGGCTATATGGATTTGCATGTCGACTTTCTCCGTGCTTCGGAAGGCATATTAAGCCGCTGGTCCCGGTTGAGTCTACAGTCCATAGCACCCACCATTCCGCACTGCACCCGCCTTTTGGGTTGTGACTCTTTCTGCCAACTCCTAGGATAGGACAGTCTTCGCTCATTTGAGCCAATCGGCATCAAAATAGCTAATATTCTTCATATGAAGTTTTATAAACAGACGCTTATTACATCAACTCCTGATCGTCTCGTTAGTAAACTGAACACGCGTGGAGACAGCACCCTTACTGACCTCTGGACATCGCCAACTCCTCCCATGCTTCCCTCACGTTGACCGCACACTCGAACCTCTCAAACTCACCTCACAACCGCCAAACGATGAACTAACACCACATAACGTGACTCGTGACATCACGTAACACTTCTTGTGCGTGCAGCCGATACGTGCCATGAGTGCGGGTGGAGTAGTCAGTAACGTAGTAGGGGCCACGTTAAGACTGGCTGATAGTGACGATTGAGTTGACTTGTCCTCAGACAGTTTATTGGTGTGTGCAGACAGTAGAATGGGCGAAGTGCGGCGAGAGCGCGCTGTCAACTGTGCCGACCGCACTGTGGGCCGTCGGGGCGGCGGCACTGGCGCACCGGGTGCTCGGCGCTATCTTCAGGCGGTTCCTCTTCCGAAGGGTGCCGTTATGGGAACTCGTGTTACAGGTTTATGTTGTTATTGTTAGCAACGAAAAAACCCGGGGGAATTTTCGTTTTGGTCGACCGGACTGAAGGACAATCACAAACAACAGCTTTCCGCCAATACCCAACTACTATACCAGGTGAGGCTAAATAGTCCGAGTGACGTGTACAACCGAACTATCGCAACTGAAAAGTTTCAGTAGTTCGGTCAACCAGACTAAGAACCGTAGTACTGCTATTATAGGGAAAAAACATTACAGAATTTATAATACACCGTGCAGCGTGCGAGCCGTGTCCGTGGCACGGCCATACAACACAACACCAATATATCAAAGGATTTTTACATACGAACAACACATTGTTCCGGCTGCAGTCCCCAACACGTCAGTAGCATTTGGGGATAGAGCAGTGTTTCCTAACCTTTCCAATGCTGCCAACCCTGTAACCTATAAGGAAACCAGAATTTACTCCGACTTTAAAATATTATCATCAGTCCAAGAAATTCCAATTTGGCCGCTACATCTTCGTCTCTAATAATGTCATCATCAGGAGGAAATCTCTCCCCGCTTCCCACACTCAGCACCCCGCGGGCTCGCTAGCAAGAAGGAGCGCATGCTCTACTTAGTAGTATTATTATATAGTATTTTCTTATTATTTAGATTTGACCAAATAATATGGTTCTTTGTTACCCCCCGAGTATGGCTGATTTACCCCCGGAGGGGTAATTACCCCCAGGTTCGGGACCCAGGGGATAGAGCTTGTCAAACAATATCAGAGACTCAGAGCTAATATATCGGCTAAGATGTAGCAACGGCTGAAGTTTCTTTGCCATCAATTATAGAATAAATCAGTGCATGCGCCAGTAAAAGTTCAATATGAAGGTATTTTTAACGAAAAACAGAATTTACGTGAAAATCAGCAAAAAAGCGCTGTTTTTTTTTAATCATTGTAGTGTAGCTCTTAGGTACCTACTTAATTTATAAAAATTGTACTCCTTTACAGAATCTCCTCTTCATTTGGATGGTGATATACAGCCTACACTTCTGGATGGTGCTGGTCAGGGTAATCAAGATGCTCGTCGAGTACTGCTTCGATGAGGCAAGGGAGTTTTTCATTTCTGAGGGTTCCGCGATTACCGATACCGTACACGTATATCGATTAGAAATGAAAATGTATTCCATGTTTCAATCTAAGCCCCACGTGACTTCCAGATCATGAATCGGATCATTATCATCATCATCAGCCTATTAATGTTCCCACTGCCGGGGCCTATGGATGGAATAGGGAGATTGGGCCATGACCCACCACGCGGGCGCAGTGCGGATTGGTGGATGCTAACGACTGCAGATGCACCCGGACCAACGGCTTAACGTGGGTGCCTTCCGAAGCACGGAGGAACTCGAGATAGTAATTTTTGGTCACCCATCCAATGACCGACCACTGCGAAAGTTGCTTAAGTTCAACGATCGCAGCCGAACGCGCTAACCACTTGCGTTATCGAGCTCCTCTAACCGGATATTATTTATTAACTTTTTAGTTCCATTTGCGATTTAGAAATCGGTTTTAATTCATTGTTTAAAAATATTTTTCATTTATCATTTTGTAACTCGTTTGTACCAGTCATGATCGTAGGCATCGATATTTTTAATGTCGTTGTTCGTAGGAGCGATAATTAAATAGTGGGCAATAGGGGTGATGACGGGGTACAGTAAACGAAATTCTATTTAGTCCGTCAGTTAAATAATCAAAAAATAATGGACACGTATTTTTTCTTTGGGCAATCAACCAAAAAATTACAAAGTTATAGCGCGTCAAAGTTTGGGAGTAGGGGCTCGTGACGTCACTTTTGAGTGAATTTTCACTTATAAGTGTACTCAAACGTGACGTCATGCGACTTTTCAAATCAATATATCTCTGCAATGTTTATATTATGTGAAAAAAGAAAAAATACGTGTCCAATACTTTTTGATAATCTACCTGATGAACGAAGAAAAAAAAATTAGTCATCATCCCTATTTCTAAATATTATTTCTCATTGGCAGAGCGTCGTAGCTGCCCCAATAGAAGAGATAGTAGAAAGCAAAAAACTTATGCAGCAGTGGGTGGTGTGGGTGTGCGGCCTGGTCCCGCTGGCGGTCTACCTGCACACGCGGCCGCGCCCCGAAGCCCCACCTCTCATGATATGGTTAATATTTTTATGTTAAAAAATAAAACCGACTTCAAAATCAAAAATGGAACAAAAAGGAAAAAATTATACCTATCTGAATCATGATTTGGAAGTTCAAGATTGATAGACGTATTATCAGCGATCAGAAACGAGAATCTATTTAATGTTTCAATCTTGACGCGCCCGACTTTCAAATCATGAACCAGATATTATTTTTCACTTTTTAGTTCCATTTTTGATTTCGAAATCGGTTTTATTTTTTGTTTAAAAGGACAATGTTAAAATTGGCCTAAGAACCAACACCAATTTGGCATTTATGATAATTGTTAGTATATTTTTGCGATAATTATCAGTATTTAGATTGTCACGGACACTTCCAGTTAAGTAAGCTAAATTAAAAAGTTAAAAAATAATCTGTGACAATAAATACCATTTTATGTGTATAATCTATGACAGCGCTGCAAAAAAAACACTCTTTCTTCCTAATGCCGGCACTTCACTCTGCTATTCGTATTTGCTATTTGAAAACATGACATCAGTCTGTCCTTTTCATTTCTTATTATGCATGTCAAGTGAAGGGCCGGCATAAAACTCGATAATCTGTGCAGGCAGTTTGCATTCGTAGTAATCTATGGCATTCGTGCATTCCCGTTTCGGATTACCAGTTGTGTATGTTTATTTGCGATTGTTTTTCCTTTAATTTAACTATTTCGGCTATCTAATGTTACGAAAGAGCAGAAACCTTATTACCAAGCGCTAGTGAATCTATGCCACTACATCCTGAGAGGATCATACTGCCAAATTATTCAAGAGCACCTGATACACATTGACGCTGCATATATATATACAATATACAAATACATGTGATATACAATATGATAAAATTATGTGAAAAATAGTCAATAAATAAGAAGCAAAACTACAGTTTTTATTTTTTTCATGATTCCTACCTAACCAAGTTTTTCCTAATAGTTATTCTTTAAAATCGCACCGAATAAAATGAATTAGTTGTAATATTAATTCACTTCATACTGAGTTCATAGGTACTATGTTCATAGGTTGACCTATGTTTCATTGAATATTAAACATAACCTCAAAAAAAAAATTGTTTTCCCAATAATTTAAGTTCTCAGAAGTGTCCGTCAATAATCCTTGTTTTTACAGTCATTAACTTGCGATTTCGAACCTAGAAAATAATAGTTCATGATTGTTGGTTCTTAGGCTAACTATGTATGGACGCAGAACAATGTCCTTTTTTATTTCATCAATTTTAGTGAAAATTTCATCGTCCAAGTAAACTAACACAATTGACAGAGAAGTCAGTAAACATGCATAAAAACATCGTGCGTGCCTTTGAAATTTGAAGGTTTCCCACAATTTCCCCGGATTCCACCATCAGATCTTGACTTGGTTCCAATGGGACCACCTCGGAAGTGCACTCTTTCGAATAAAAAAAGAATTTTCAAAGTCAGTCGTCAATCGACGGAGAAATCGGTGAACATACATAAAAAAAATACACTCGATCATAGAACTTCCTCCTCTTTAGAAGTCGGTTAAAAGGGGTGGCATATGGGCCAACTGATGGTAAACGGCCACCTTAGCTTAAAGATGCTTGCGATACCACAGATATCACTTCCTCCGTTGCCTACCCTGACCTAATCGCCTACCCTGTAGAGTCCTAGAACCTTGTTCACCGACAGAAACACAATACCACCAAGAGGTACAGTTATTTTACTGTGTTCTTCTGCAAAGTGGAGGTTACTTCCCCAGGCGGGAGCTTCAATTCGAGCGGGAAATCTATTATGCTCCCCTTTATTATCTTTAGTTATCCATAATGATGTGTAGTGAGAGCTCTTGCTAGGAAAAAGAGGAGTTGTCAGCTTAGATCACTTTTTAAACGCCAAATTAAAAGATACCTAAGTGTCGCCGCACACGGCCCACCGACCGCAACCACAAAACGCCGCCACCGGCATATTTTTTGTAGTTTTCATACATTTTATATGGACTCGCCACACACGGTACACCGGTGGCCGCCACACGCTACAAATCGTCGTTACTCCCTTCTTGTGGCCCGCATCGGCCACTTAATGCGCCGATACAAAACCCCGCTACACGTCACTCGCGCGATTCCCCACCCCTCTCTCCCTTACCTTAGTCGGCCGCTGTCGCGCGCTTCAGCCACTTTAGTAGCCGCTTCTCGTGGCGGCGTTTGTGGCCGAGACGTGTGGCCCGTGTGCCGCTACACTAAGCGTTATAATGATCGCTAAAGCTAATTTTGTAAGGTTTAAAAAGAAGCAAACCTTTTGATTATATTTTCTATTTATTTATAGCGAGGAAGGCAAATGACTCTACCCCACCTGATGTTAAGTGGTGATAAAGTCCAAACGCGAAGATAGCTGGTACAGCAGTTATAAACTGCTACACCAACCATCAAAAATACAAATTATATGTCGCAATCAGCCCTAACGAACTGCATGGCATAGAATAAGTGAAAATACAAAGTAAAAATTGTAAGTGAAAATTGTTCAGGATTACAACGAGTCCATGGCAACGGCGCGAGATGGGCCCTTACGGATACTACCTCAGCCGGCCGCTAACTTCCCTGCAGTCCACCGCGAATCTCACCAGCCTCCAACGGGCGCTCACCCTTCGGAAAGCCTTCAGCGACTCCAAAATAGTCACCAAAGAACCACCCAAGAAAAGAAGATACTCGAAATCTGTTTAAAACATTTGTATAAAAATAATAAAAGTTTGAACACTTTAATCGTCGTTTAACTTTTAGCTAACCCGTAAAAAGACGTCACATAAAAACGACTGCGGTGTTCTGAGATTTACGACAAATTCATATTACATTATGGTGGTACAATTTGCCGAAGCCATCAAAAAAGTTTGGAAAAAATATTGAAACAAAAGTTTGACAACTGTAATAAGAAAGGTCACGAGGCAGGTGTTGAAAAAATGACCTAATTAAGCCAACAGATGTCATGACTGAAAACAATTAGAATGCGATGTTGAGATTTTTAAGCGAATGCATATAAAGGTATACTTTGTTTGTACCCAACATACTAACCTTGCGTAGGGTGTACCGTGATCAGGAAGGCGGTTGCCCCGGGCTGGCTCCGACCATTGCACTGCGGTTGGAAGTGGTCAGCCTGTGACTATCCTTTCATAGGGTACGTTGTACGCGTAATTTTTGGTAGTAGGACTAGCGTACTGCGCTGTCCCTTTAAAAACTAAAAACACAAGTAAGCACTAGTAATTACTTGGCCGCCTTGATGTGTTTCCATTGCGAATGGAATTGAGCGAGGACTAAAAGTGAAACAAATTCAACTCACTAACGGCTGCACTCAGAGCAGTCACTTACACTACACTTTTAATTTTAAAGGTTTTCAAAGAGACTTATTTCATAGCTTTTAAAAAAAAAAGAGTCAGTCTAAACCTTTAAACAAACCTTAACCTTGACGACCTCTGTAGTTGGAGTGGTATGTACGCCGGTTTTCAAGGTGTCGCCATCTCGGAGGTTCTGGGTTTGAATCCCGGTAGGGCAAATGTTAATATGATAAATTCAAGCATTTGTACTTAAGTCATTGATGTTAATATGCAATTCTAAATAAAAATATTATACGTATGTATTCTATACTTTATCCTAGTGTCCCATAACACAACCTTACATACTTTGGGGTTAGGCCAATTGGAGTGTGTGTAAAGAAAATAATCTGCCGTGGTAAGTGTGGTTGTAATAAACAATTTCCCGAAACGAACAAACAGCCTCGATCTCACTCCGCTCATCTCAAAGGGTAGAGCGGGATTCTCCTCTCGTCGCTTCCTGGGACGAATTGTACTTCATCTCCTAGAACGCTGGCACTTAAAGCGACCACTCCTCTCGCTCTACCGCAAAGACTACTCTTTCGAAAGTCTATATGTATTCGTATGCAAACTCTTAAACGCGTCAAACGCTATGCCATCACATCGATTCGTAAATCACGGCGGGTACCTTGAACTGAGAAGAATGGGCAAGAAAATCAGCAAGGGCTTCTCTGTCTCTGTGTTATTTCATACGGTGTCGTCAAATATATGATGACATCAAAACTTAATTAAACCATGTATCTCAGTCAGAGTAAGTAGGATTGACTTTCACTGTTCGGCTCACTTGGGATAGAAGGTCGGGCACCAAAGCCCGTAAGAGAAACAAAAGTTTTTTTGCATCACGGATTCAGCACCAGCGGAGACACGGCGCGTGGGTCGGAAGACACCATATTCACTAGTCTCATCCAAGGGCGGTTCCAGCTTTGGCGCCGGGGGGGGGGTCATATAGTCGCGGTCACAGAACACAGAAAGAGGTTCTGTGTTCTGTGGTCGTGGTATATTAAATATTGAAAGTACTTAAATACAATCCCCCTGGGTTTGGTCCATCTGTACCCAGCCCAGGGGGGGGTCATGACCCCCATGGACCCCCCCCCCTCCTGGATCCGCCCTTGGTCTCACCTAATGGTAATATAAATAACATGGTCACACCGGGACGTACCAGAGGATAGTCACCCCAAGGCTAATGGGTGATAGATTTGCGTAGGAAGCCTGAGAGCACGCCTAATAATCTGGATCTCTCTAATTTTACAACAATCATGCTCAAATAATGCCTTTTCACTATTGCTTTGAAGATTTGAAAAAACGCGTTTCGGAACGCACCCGGTGAACTTGTCAATTTGTATCAGCTGGTTTTAAAATTATAAATAATTAGGTTTTTCGTTTTATTTCTATTTAAAAATAGATTCACAGTGTAGTTTATATAGTAAATATTGTGTGGAATTGTTTTCTCAAGAATTGGACAGTAAACATTTAAAATACTGCAACACAAATATTGTAACGACTACCTACTTGTCAAAATCAAGAAGAAAAAGTTGTAAAATTCAAGAATAATTACGAAAAAGGACAATAGTGTGACATGCTGCATCATAAACCGGGGGAGTACATCTTATTTTATCAGTATTTTCTATAAGAAAGAGTGTCATTGTCGATTAATGAAAGTGTATAATTTAGTTTTTCAATTCGGAAAACCTCAACAAATTACTGCACATAACTCACTTAATCAGTGAGTAACGTCACAATTCAAAACGAATAGCACAGTAAACCTCTCTTTGCTTGACATAATAGTGGAAGCAAAATTTGATGGTGACTTTTTGCTCCAGTCATACACCATACTCTTACTCTTCACAAGCTATACACTAACAACAGTACATTTGAAAATAACTGTCTGAACCCTATTGCTGTGTAATTTGTTCTTATATTGTACTTGCTGTTATTAATATCTTTTGACACTTCTGATACAGTATTGTTCTCAATATTTATTATGACAACGTATTACAACAGCAAAGTTTGAACAAATCATACTTACTTTTTATTATACTTTGCTGCTAAGTTAAGTTACTATTTAAGATTTGGGAAATTAAATCCTACATAGTTATTAGGTGTAAAAGTATTAAAACTTGATATTGATCTTAAAAATATTATATGATATTAAGTTGATCAATTTGAATTAATCATTTTTAAAGTAGTAAAAGTAAAATTTAATACATATTTTATGTATTATTTTCTACCCTCTTTTTAATATCTCTATCTATTTTTGTTTTCATAATCATTTAAACTCATTAATTACTCTATTTGCTTTAAATATTACTATAAAAAGAAACTTATATTCTTTTATTAATTTCAGCTTATTGAATTTTTATACACAAATAACAATGATGACCCGCAAAGCTGCAGTTCAAAGTACAGAGCTTAAATTGAAACAAGCCCTGGAAGAACTCAAGGTAACAAAGGAAACTTGTCGCCAGCTACTTCGTGAACGTGATGAGGGTGAAGAGGAAATTGAGAAAAATATTCAAAGGAACACCCAGCTCAAGAGCGAACTATCCCAACTTCACTCGGAACACATGGAAGTGATTCTTCAACGAGACCATCTTAACGACACTGTCAACAGCTTTGACCAGCAGTTCAACACATATGAGAGGGCTCTTCAACGTATCACAGACCTAGAAAAAGAACTTATTGATGCAAATAACCAACTAGCACATTATAAAGAAATTCAACAACTCCAGGAAACAGCACATACACAGAGCCTTTTTGAGGAATTAATGGCATCTCCCGGAGCGCCCTTGACACAATATCAACAGCCTATTGTTTATGAGAACACTGCTGTACAAAACTGTGTAACTGGCAAGAAAAAACTAAAAAAGTATATTCGCATTAGTAAATTTATAAAAAGAACAGGAAAGTTAATTAAAAGAAATAATTGTTTTCATAAAAATATAGCATTAAGGAAGGAAAGAATGGACCTTATTGATTCTATAGATATATATAGTTCAAAGTTGACTGAGAGTAGGCAGGTGTACGACAGTGATACAAAGAAATTACATTTAGAGATTCAATATTTACATGAGTCACTAGAAACATTATCTAACAAATATTCAAATGCACAAAAACAAATAAGTGAGCATATAAAATCAGCTTCAGAATTAGTTGAACTATGCAACTACAATGCAGAACGTTATGAGTCTGTAGTAAAAAATCAATTAAGTAGTTCTTTAAATCAATCTTCCTTGCAATCAACATCATCTGAAATTATAGAGGTTGTTAATAATAATAATAATTCTCAAACAGTTAAAAATTTTGGTGGTTCATCTGTCTGTTCTGGGTCAACTTGCAAAACATATAACAACTCCCCTGTGAGGTCAATCTGCACTACATATAGTACCTCTCCTTTCAAACCAGTGCTATCTGAGAACACAACTAGAAGTAAAACAATTATGTTCTCGGATAAGTTAGGATGCGGCTTTGGATTAATGTTAAGGAATTATTGTAATGAAAGAATTACTAATATATGTATGCCAGGTAAATCAATAAATGACATTATAAGTGAACTGAATCAGTATGATGCGGACAGTTTGACAAACATAGTTATTATGTGTGGTGACAGCTCTAAAATAAGAGCAAGAGATATGTATAGAAATATAGAGGTGCTACTTAACTATCAGTCTAGGTGCAAGTGTAAAATAATAATAAGCGCTTTCCCATATGCAGAAAATTTAACTAGGGAACAAAACAAGCGCATCTTTAATTTGAATTTAATAATTTATAATTTATTAAATAGTCATAGTGACAATTTTTTATATTTTGATATAAATAAATATATTAGTAAATTTAAGTTGACCACAGATACTATGTATCTTGCAAAAAAATATAAGACTCGGATAGCTACTTTGTTAGCTTTTAATATACAAAACTCAGTTATACATGGTATAACAAAGTCTATGCAACTGGATTGTTTTAGTGTCAGCACTAATAAAATTATTAATTTAGAAAATAGGGTGACCAACTCAAATTTAAACTGAGGGGTACGACAACAGCCAAATCCAACAAAATTAATATTATTTATCAGAATATTCAAGGGTTGGCTGGCAAAGATTTAGAATTAGAACTATTTGCAAAGAGCCAGGATATTCATGTTATCTGTTTATCTGAACACTGGCTTAAGTCTTCTGAGGTGTCTCTTAGCATAAACAATTTTCAAATGATAAGTGCATATGTTCGTACTGCAGCTATACACGGTGGCACATTAATTTTTGTAAATAAAAATATAAAAACTAGGGATAGGAAGGACATAGTTGGCCTCTCAGTAGAACGTATTATTGAGCTATCCTGTGTTGAATTCAGTGAATTTATTATAGTATGTGTATACAGACCCCCTCTAGGCAACATTAGTGT